AGTTTTCAACTTTTTATTTGTTTATAATACTTTGTCCATTGGATATGATAGCTTTGTGTGAAAGATGCTTCCAGGAACCGGAGAGTGGTTGGTACAGGTGAAGTACAACAGTACTCTTCAAATAGCCGTTGGCCAATGTAGCTTTGTCAGATACATTGCTTCTAGGTAAGCTATATACATACGAACAGAGAAAACTAAAAAAAACAGTAGACTAAGGGCATGTTCAAAGGGGGCACACTAAAGAGTGTGCTTAGGGTTAAAATAAGTTAAGAGTATATTATAAAAAATTAAGGTAAAAGAGAAAGTAATTGGAAAAGAAGGAGAGAAAGTAAAGATGGCCAATCCGGAGCTGACACTTGGCAGAAGAACACACCAAGAACAGATCTTCGGGAAGAACAGTTCTTCTAATCGAAGAACACATTCCTATTTTTTGTTATTTTTTAATACTAAGAACACATCAAATGTTCCCCCTTTGAACATGGCCTAACGTATCATATATGTTCTCTGTAAGTTAAGAAGTTTGATATCAACAAGCAATAGACTGACATATCATTTATGTTCTCTGTAATCTCTAATGCAGTTAACAACAGATGCTTTGCTTCAAGCTGCACAAATAGAAGAAAGAGGAATTTTAGTGTAACATCCCGAATTAGATTAAATAGAGGCAATTACTCTCATACTCCTAAATCTCATACTTTAATCTCTCTAGGACACATTTTTTCCTTTAATTTTATATGTCAAATGAAAAATCATAAAATTAAATTGGAAACGTGAATATTTTTTATTTGATTTATCGAATTTGATAAAAATATTTCAAAAAGCGCAAAACGTTTTTTCCTATTTTCTAAAAAATCATCAAAATATGATTAAAACGATTTTAAAATATTTGTTCTCCGAATTTAAAAGGTATAGAACTTAAATATATACCCATGGGTTCACTGATCCATAGGGGGTTTTTGTTTATTTTTGATCGCGCGGGAAGGCTTACTTTGGGTTTTGATCAAAAATGAATTATGAAAAAGGGGCATAAGAGATCAAGTGAGGACATAGGAGATTAGCGCTATTAAAACAGGGGCACAGGAAAAGTTGGCTCGATTAAATAACTACATATATTTAATTATTTTTGTAAAACTTTATATCATTATTAGAATCAATATCTTAAAACCAGATCGGACATTAACTCAGACATTGTAGTTGTCAATGGCCGGATCGGTTTAACCGGAATTAAATTTTCATCTAATTTTAAATTAACTATATATAATGTATAACTATGTATAATTTTTATAAAACTATCTAGAAATGATATGAAAAGAAAATAAAAACTTCAAAATAATATAAACATATTATGAAAACTAATTTATTAATATAGATTTTAAAAATATATAAGAATCTTATATGAATTATTTACAAAATTTGCAATTTCCTTATCCTTTAATTTGAATTTGAGAAAACATGTTTTAACATCGGACCTTGTCACCAATTTTAGCGAAATTGACTATTTTAGGCTGGATTTATCAGTTTAATATAAATCAAAATTTTAGCATAACCCAACATCGAGTAAAATAGACGAGTCACGGTTCAACTGGTCCAACCGGTCTGTCCAGTCACACTTTCAGAAAAAAATACTAAATTTAGAATCTAAAATGACATGAAAATAAAATGAAAACTTCAGAGTAATAGAAAGATATAATTAGAATTAATTTATTTAGACTTATAACAATAGGAGTTTATGAAATATTAAAATTGCAATTTTTTTACCTTTTTACCTTGAATTTGAAAAAAAACGACTTTTAATATCGGACTGAGACACTGGTTTTAATGACCTTGACCAGTTTTAAACTAGGTTTGCCCGTTTAACTTAAATCTTTTTAATACGACATGGAATCGCTCAAAAGAGTGACTCACGGTATGGCCGATCCGCCCAGCCGGTTCAGTCCAGTTTTCAAAACGGTGGAAAAAAAAATGTTTGGAAAACTAGACCAGGCATCGACTCGGCATTATATTTGGATAATGGTCAGTTCGGTCCAACCGGTTTTTAAATTTTAATCTAATTTAAATTAAGTAACTATATATATATGTATAACGATAAAATTATTTTTATCAAAATTTATATCATTCTTAGAATCTAAAATGATATGAAAATAAAATAAAAACTTAAAACTAATATAAAATTATATGAAAACTAATTATTTAGATTACTAACAATCTGAGTTTTTTATTAAATCTTTTTAAAATTTGTATTTTTTACTTTTTTTTTGATGAAATTTAATATTTATTGATCTGCTCTAAAAGAATGTTATGTACATAAAACAACTTCTAAATAATTCAAAGAATTGGACTCAAAAGTCTGTGATCAAATCGTGATTTCAAACCATCTCCGAAGCATCCCTCCTAGCTTATGCTCTGTTGTATACTTGAGTGAAAATATTCTATTCCTCATAGCTTTATCAATGACTCGGTGCAGCTGATCAATTGAATTACTGGGCTGTTGATGTCGCCTCGCATTTCTCTCTCACCATATGTGGTAAAGCAGCGTTTGAAAGAGGAGTCGAGCAATGCAGGAATCCACTCCTTTGGTACCCATTCTCTGAAGCCTCTGCACTGTCCACCTCCAATCAGGATTAATGCTTGAGCCAATCAGCTTGCGAGCAGGCGGTTCCCATAGCGTGTAGGCAAAGGGGCAGGCAAAAAATAAATGATCCCTCGATTCATCCCTCTCTCCGCACAGTTCACATCCTTGAATCATCCTCCACTACCCCATCAAGTCATCGGTATTTTTTACTTTTTTTACCTTGAGTTCGAAAAACAGGGTTTTAATATCAAATGTTTTAATACTGAATTAAGTCAAACGAATTTAAACGTTTTTACCGGTTTTGCTGGTTTAAGTCAAATCCGATTTTAATACCAAGTCACAGTCCAACCACTCCGATCTGGCTTTCAAAACACTGGAAAAAATTATAAACAAGTATCAAGACAAAAGTCTCAAACTAAACTACGATAATTACTAACAAATGGTCATAGCTTAATAACAAAAAATGGCGAACATTCCGCGCGTAGCGCGGACATACCACTAGTATATAAATAAAGTAAACAAAAATAATGCATTACGAAAAAAGATCACATAGTCCTTGTGCCCTAATCAGACGCTTATTTATGGGAAATACAAGTAAAGAGAACAATAAGGAGAAAGGGCTGCTAGCATTTTTTATTCATGCCAGTGCTATCTTTTAGGATTTGTTATTTTCAAGTTTAAAATAGATACTTTTTTTACAAAAAGATAATTGAGAGCCCAAAATGTGGTTAATGATTATTGTTTTTTCACTGGTCAGATAGAAGGAATTAGCTGACGTGAGTTACAATAAAGACGGTTCGTGGAGAAATCTTGTTAGTTCAGTGATAACTCAAGAACTAGGAGGGTGATTGGTAAGAGCTGTGATTTCATTTTTTGGTTGTAAAAATATTGCTGTGATTTATTTTGCTTTGGATTTAGATTTTTAATTTTTAAAAGCCTTTAAATATGAGCTGTAGATATTTGTCTCTGCAGAACAATTATAAGGACATGAATTTAAATAAGTGCTGTAGAATTAAAACAATGGCTGTAAGTTTTAGAAAAAATAAAAATCATGATTGGTGTAGATATAGGGCTGTAAGTATAATTATGGCCGTGGAGAGCATCTACAGCAATAGCCAATCACACCCTAGGAGTGATAAATATCGAAGAAAATAGATAGCAATGTCAACCGAACTTTAAATCTCTTTCCGCTTGTTGAGAAAGCAAGAAAAAAACGACTAATTTACAACAGAGAAGAATGATACAAAAAGCAAACCAACATGTCTTAACTGTTGTTATTACTTACTATGAGTTCATGCCTCTAACGAAGAACTGAAACAAAAACCAATGTGTGACTAATAAAAGGGATTTGATTCAAATTTTTATTTATTGTGTTTGTTGAGAAATATGGTTATAGTGATGTTTAGTTGAAGAGCGCGGACATAGAGGAGTCAGAGGAGAATGAAAGACCAAGACGTGAAGTAAATGCTACGAGGTTTTGTCGTTTTGATATTGTAAGGTTTTATAGGATTATAGGGTTTTGAAGATCATAGTTATTACTATTACCTGAATGTGAAGTCGGACCACGTTGGGGGTTGGGCTTGGACTTTGGAGCTCAGCCTATGTATGTATGTCTGAAAGTGAAAGCTTTCAATGATCCAGTAATTGTCAATGTTCACATGCACTATTAATTTTCTCTCTGCAACTTAAATTGGAATTTAGCAATGTTTTTAGAATCATTTTACATTTTTCAGAGAATTTAGCATGTGTGGGTTTATTATCAGAAAAGGTGTGTTTCAGTGAGGGAAGTCTTGATAAACCTAACAAAATTGAACCTGACATGTGAGTTTTAATGGAGCGAAGATAAAACAATCTTTAATCTTTTGCCCATTTCTGATCTGTTTTTAAAATGAACTGAAAAGGTGTTAGCTTATGTCTATATTTCTTCATTCTTAATCTTGAGAATGAATACAATCTCTACCAGAAACATAAGATTGACCCATCTTTTTGTCATTTTAATAACATAAATGTACTATTGTACTCTATGATGGTATGGAAAAAAAACTGCCTTTTTGAGACAGACGAGGATGACGAACGCTTCCTAAAGACAACTACGCACAAAGCATTTATAACTTCGACCACAACTCTTTAAATGCAACTATTGTTTCTTTCTGCACCTTAAAAAGATCAGTCCGACGTTTTATTTTGCTGGTGCAATTACGACAGGACAGAGATGTCCAATTTCCGAAATGAACATGTTAAACGTCTTTGACAATTAGAGTAAAAAACTGTATTATATGGTCAATTGTTTCTCAATCTTTCTTCTACCTCTGTTTATGATTTCTAGATACTTCTTATGACTTTCTCAATGTTAAATTACTGTAAAGTCAAATCTATAATCACAAACAAACATCAAGTAATCACTGTCACACTTTACTGAACTTTATCTAAAGAAAGAACTACATCGACCAAGCAGAAATAAACTGAGTAAAAGAAAGAATCAAATCAATATTAGGAATTTATTTCCTAAACAAGATTCACCTGGAAAGAATCGTAAGAATATGATGGAAACAATTAAAATCCTGTGAACAAAAGAATTTCAATAAACCCAAAAAAAGGACACGATGGTCTCTCTAACCAAACCAATGTACAAAACTTTCGAGGCAGCTTCTTCTCTCCTCCAGCCCGTCTCTACATATCTCCTAACACCAAAGACTATCGTCTGCGTTTACACAATGTACAAAACGCAAACGCTTCAAATCACAAAACACCAAAAAAAAAACAATATCCAAACGCTGTCCTATTCTTTGCCCAGCAGCAGTAGTCAGGGATTGAACTAAACCTTCATTTTTTTCTCTCCTGTTAGTTTCATCAGCTTTTCAATGTGTCAAAACGTATCAAACAATGTTGTGGCGGTTACTCCTTGGCCACCCTTCCCCGAGATAAATAGACGATTTTGCAGCCCCTCCAGCTGCTTTCCCCTAAAACTATGGACAGGCCAAGTCCCCAATCCCACTCTGATTTGAAAGAATTAAAATTACAAACCCCTTTGAATGAATTGAATGTGTGTGTTTTCAGGACGCAGAAGGTGGCCTAGTATCTTGGGTCGTTGTTTTGTTCCTACGGGACATGCAGTCAGGGCAAGGGAATGTGTAAATGGAGTCATTAGGTCTTTTTAGCTCAAACCCCTTTGAGTCACTATGAGACCTCATGTTTAGCATCTGACGTTTAAAACTTCGCCATCTGCCGGGAAAAAACACAGCAAAAACAGCGTTTCAGCATTAAAGGGATAATAATGCGACAGAGTGTAAGACCAACACTGGCGTGGTGGATGAAAAAACGAAACAAAAGCAAATAATGAAACGTAGAGCTTGAAGGAGTAGAAGAGGTGAGTACCCAATGTTGGGATTGTCAAAGATGATTGCTAACTTTCGCTTGTCCGGTCTAATAGTTTTGGAATGTCCTCCAAACAAGTATCTTCGATGACCCATGAGAAAGTGAGGAAAGTTTCCACCCTGTGTGGTCACAAATACCTCACTGTGGAGACAGACCGTGTAATCTATTGCAGCCATTCTGGAAGAGAAGTTCTAAGTACAGAGTTCAAGTCAGAACTCAGAAAATAATTGACCACACAAGTAGTAATTTGGAACAAACAGGGGAAAAAAAAAGGCAGACCTGATATGGAGCAAGTTCCTCCTCTGAGGCAAGCATCTCCTTTGTTTGTAAATTCGGGAACATCTCTAGTAGTGGGGCCATTGTTTTATTCGCATTATATATCTGACCAGATGCAAGGTAAATGTATGTGCTTTTGTTGAAACCCATTCCTCTAAGCATTAACCCCACCTGAACGGTTTGCAAGAAAAGTATAAACCAAACAGAACAACTAACACTACTGCTCACCCAACATAACTAGTCACACTACTGCTCAAAAGGATTTGTGGAGCTATTCTGATGGATGATTATCATTTGAAGATCCGAGAATGCTAATAGATAGTAGGAGTAGTGTCCAGAAACAAACGGATTGATGAGTACCTCTAAAGGAGTCAACGGACACTTCCCATTTTGCCTGATAGCACCAGGTCGAATAACACGGCCTGGCTTTGTGAATTTTCCTTTCCACCCTCGTTCTCTTGCTGCAATCATGTCTTGTTTTTCTTGGTTACCACCATCAAATACACAACAGGAGAAAGCTACCATGTCCTGCAACAAGAGTAAATAGCTTATTTAATCTCTCACCTCAGACAAAAAGCTCATTCAAAATTTTTTATAGTCATGATAAAGACCAGTGAGGATTCTTGAGAAGTCTCTCCTTTACATGGAACAAACCTCTTCAAAGCGCAGATGTACAGATACGTACTTTGCTCCGTGGTTTGCACTCTGCTCCTTCATTCTCTTCACCAGTGTTTCTCCTAGGGTTAGTATGGGTTCCGAAAACCTCAGGGCTTCATAATTCGCCAAACATCTAAGTCTCTGGACAGGTTTAGGAGCATCAAACGAAAGTCTATTTGCAAATGGGGATATTCGTATAACCCTGCGCCATGAAAAGACAACAATGTCTTCAATGACAAATGCTATACAGACCCAAAACATCTCTTTCGCTAAAAGAATAAGGTGGTTTACTGTCCTGATAAAAACAATGCATAACCAACACTAGCATGTGAAACCGTCTTCTAAAAAACAAACTGTAAACTTACTTCTCCTCAAGTAGCTTCGGCAAGATCGAGTCCCGATAGTATTGAATAGGTGACCAAGCTTTAACTCTGAAGTTGTAGACATTTGTCAAGTTATAGTCAAATCGCTCCATTATATATTCAGGAATTGTATCAACCACCCGCACATCATTTGCTAAGGCACTGACAAAGAACTCTTCATCGTATATGTCCCCAAATTTACTGATACAAACACCCTCTGTTAAAATCAGTCTTACAAAAGATTGGTTTTGCTTTGACAAACAACGTCAAGACAAGATTCTCAAGAAAAAGAGAATTCTACAAACCTTGGATCTCTCCATATGCTGTGATAGTGAAAGTTGGGAATCACTAGAGTTGCATTAAGATAGCCCGCCACAGCAACCGCATTGCATATCTAACAAAAACAAGGTCGAGTGAATTCAACAACTCTGACAGAAACAAGATTACTAGATAATGATTGAGCGAAACGCATAGACTTAATATATCAAGAAAAGATCAACAAACCTACCGATGTCCTCTGCTGATTCAATCCCCCGTTTGCCTCAACATATATATAACCATTAGACTCAGGCAAGGCTACAATTGCACACAAAGCAAATAATTAACTAATCAAATTATGATCCAAATTAACATTCGAACTCTAACAATAAACGATTCAAAAACGTTACAGCTTACTCCAAGCAAGAAGCTTTATCAAGACATTAAAAAAAAGCTACCTCCAGTGGACTTGTTCACATACGGCTTCCACTCAACACCTTTATACGAATGTTTCCAAATAGTCGATATCTAAAATATATACAATAACAAACATTAATGATAAAACTAATCAATCAATAGTTGTAATAGTTTCTTTCTATCTAACCAATTCAACACCAAAGATTCTCAACTAACCGCATCAGCCGATGAATTATCAGCATCCATCTCAGGACGAAGCTTAGCATAAACCTGAGGACTCTTATAAACAGATCCAGGCGGTGACCGATGCCTTATAATAGGCCCAACATCGAACGAAACGGTTCCCATATAAATCAACATACACGAGATGTAGATCAACGGAGCGAATAGGAAGACTCCCTGACGACGGAGGAGAACCGATACGATCAGCCACGAGAGGCGATGAGCTACGGTTGTCCGATTCGGCTGAGGAGTGGGGAATCGACCCGAGGCTTTTGATCGTCGGTAACGAGGAGAGCGGCGAGGTGATCCCGGTGGTGACGGTGTTGTGTGGCCGCTTCCCGGCAGCCGATTTTTCGCGAGCATTTGAGAGGGGAGGGGGGGGGGAATCGGTAGATCTCGATTCGTTGGTTTTGGAATAGAGCGTTTACATAATAATAAGTGTGTTAGCTGATGCGGCGGAGAGGAGGTCGTGGAATCGTGGAGATGAGGTGGATTTTTTGGAGGTTGCGGCGGAGCACGGTTGCGAAATTTGAAGTAAATCGCCGGAAGAGAGAGAGGAGGAGGAGAGAGTGTGTCTCTGTGGACCTTTTTTTTTTCTTTCTTGCTTCTTTTTTACGGTGGAGGCTTGATCACATACACACACCCTTTCTCTTTCTTTTTATTTTGCCCTTTAGATTTCAAAACTTATTATATAAGCTTTTTTTTTTGATCAAAAAATTATATAAGCTTTTTTGAACAAAAAAAAATTATATAAGCTTTTTTCTTTAATTGGAAAATTTTGTGAAACGATTAATATTAAGTATCCTGGGTGAAGAAACTTTTTAAGCTAAATTCCAATTTTTTTTGGTCTAAAGTAAAATTCATTGAGTTTTTAGGAGGTTGTGTGTCATTGTTCTACTTTTTGATTATTCGCATAGGCTATGGAAAGAAACAGCGAAATATTCGTTTTGTCATGTTTTGGATTATGGGAAATATATGTAAATTTATATAAGTCATATTTTGGTATATCGCTAGTGCATTTTCTAGATACCGTTAACGTTGTGTCTATCAACATTTGTAAATTATTCCTTTCTAAAGAAAAATAAACTATGAATATCCAGAATAATCTACACGGTATTATTTTTGTTCTTGTCGACCATATCTATGAATATTTTTGTGTGAAATTATCAACAATATATATCGTTGAAAAAACACAAAATTTAGCTGTATTTCCAAAAATATATATATATATATATATATACACTTTTACTCGACAAATTAGTATCACAAAAGAAAGTCATATGTATCATAAAATTTATCGGAATAGTATTTGTATTAAAAACATGCAGTGGTATAACACGATAGTAAAAAGTATTCAATTCAAAACTAAACAACGCAGATGACAAAGCCAACACGTCAAGCAATGTTGATTCCATACTCTGTTTCAGCTAAATCTTTCGTCCCCAAACGGCAGGTGCTCTGGTAAGGGAATTAGGGTCCTGGGTCCAGAAGGTGTAATTATTTTGACGATAATATTATAATTTTTAAAAAGCATGATTGGCTTCTTAATGCACCACATAAGTTTCATATATTATAGTCAACAAAACTTTAAAAATGCTACCGATTTAAATAGTTGACTTGTGAGTTGATGTAGATTGGATGACATAATCCCCACATAATTATACAAGTAATAATATTATATGTTGTAATTTGAATCCATTAGGAGCTTAAATGTGATTTTGTGAATAGCACTATAACTGGATGAGGGAACTGTGTAGTTGTACAAAAAACTTTATCTAGTAATAATTACAAAATAGTGAACATTATTACCTAATAACGTGAGTTTGCACGGAATTAGCCTGTGGCTGTGTTTGCATGTGCAACTTAGATGGAGAGAGGGAGTGGTTGGCAACAGCGACAACTATTTATATATACAGAATATATGAGAAGATTCCAAATTTAGTAAAATACTATACGCCATTTTCTAATGTTTCGATGAGATCTTTAGAAACAGGATATGAGTATGACATGTCATTACGTCAATAACTTAACCACAAGCTTGAATGTACAAGGTATAATATATAGATCCAGAGAATATGTATGTTTGAAAATCCTCTGAAAAGAAAAGAAAAAAAAAAGAAAATCCTCTGAATATTTTCCAACTCAAGATACATAATCTATCTTGATATCTCAAATACATAAGTGATAAAGAGAATACAAATGATCCCTTAACCTAGTCAGATGAACTAGTTTAAAGTAACCATAATGATAATTAAGCTAGTGAAGTCAGACAACAATTAAAGCAAAGAACAAATTTTAATCAAGGTTTAAAGGTAGACTTCTGGGATTATGCAATTGATAAATGATGATGAAATTCTAGCTAAGAATGCTAATACAAACAACTAACATGCTTTTTTAACGTAAGATCACAAAGATGAGTTAATTCACTTCCATGAAAGTCAAAAATGTAAAAAAATAATGAATATCAAAGTCTTGGAAATTTTCTAGCTAATTAATATTTTCATGGCTCATCTGTGTGCTAATCACAATTCCATGAGATTGTCAAATAATAACAGTTTGTAATTTTATTCTACTACTTTGTTGTCCTGTGTTTCTTTTCTTTTCTTTTTTTTGAACTGTTGTCCTGTGTTTTTTTTTGTCCTGTGTTTCTTGATACTGAATTCTACTACTATTTGATGTGCTTGTGATAATTAGTTCTATATATTAAAGAGCACACATGTAATCAGTTTAAACACTCTTCCGTATTATGGATTTCATTCTGCAGAGTTGTCCTCACTGAAGTGCATAAAAATATTTAAATTCTCTTCACAATTTAAATTTTTTATCGGAAATGTCTTAAAATAATTTACCCAAAACAAAGCTGTAGTTTTATATGTTGACGGTGAAACTCTATTACTACATTCTTAAAGTCAATGTTTGAACATGCACGCATTCTTGCTAAAGACATCCCTTTTGCGACCACGTTCAAGATCAGCGAGTCCTTGAGTCTCCCTACGGATTCGAGGTTAAAAAGGTGAATACACTAAACATTGATGGGTTGTTGATAGCCCTAGGTTTGTTGAGGAGGAAGATCATAAGACGAGTCATTCGCTTGATCAGACGGAGAAGAAGTAGAGGCGTTAGTGGACTATAAGAATTGGGTTGTTATTTAGTGTAACTAGTTTAAAATTATTTGGTTAACTGTAAACCAAGTAAAAGTATGGTATGTGAGTAGTTAAATTTTGATTTATCAATGGGAGAAATCTGTAATTTTAAATTGGTGGAGAAATAAGTTTATAAAATTAATTTCGAGGAAGTCTAAGAGCAACATTAGCGGTCAAAAACGAATGAAAGTCTCTTTAGATTATAATGATATTTATGTTTTACTCAGTCTAACTAAGTAATAATCCGCGACTTGCACAGAATGAAATTATTATTTTTGTTACTTTTAAAATAAAAATGATATTATATTTGTTTAGCATGGATATTGGTTCAGTTTTCTATATTTATTTTGGTTTGTTTGGTTTAAATGTTTGATGTTTTTAATTTTTTCGATGATAACAAAAAACTATTGTTATTTGTTTGGTTTTGTTTTATATAAATTTTAGATATTTTTGATGTCGAACTAATAGTTTCCTATTATAATTTCTAAAGACATGTAAAATCAAATAAAATCTAAATAATATTTGAAGAAAAAATAAAATAAAATTAATAACACAAAACATTTCCTGTGGTGTTTTGTGTTAATATCTGACTAAACTAAAGATCCGACTTTACGTGTGGTGTTTTTCACCTCAATTTCTTTAATTCATAATCAATCACTATATTTGTTGTTATTGCGTATCGAAACCTCATCTATGACCAACTTTGGTAAGGTACGAAATTTCAATTTCTATAAACATTTTTATCGCAACATTTTAGTTGATGTGAATCTTAATAATTTTGTAATTTTTTACAGTAAAGATATTATTCATAAGTTACATGTAGAAATTTTAATTTATTAATACAAATGCTACAAATATAGGAAAATGAATTAATTAAAATAGTATATAAACACATTAAATAATAAATTTAATAATTAGTGTGTGAATGCATTAATTATCAAATGATTGTGAAGCCGACACGTGTCAATTACGGTGTGGACGCATTTATTACAATATTTCTCTTTTAATATAGAAGAGATTATCTAATTGTTTAACTTTTAACAAAACATTATCCAACATGCAAGTGACAAATGGATAAAAGTTTCTCACAAAAGTAAGTTGTATTCTGCGCGGATAATCGATTCTCTTATATTTTCTCCTTTCTTTGTTTCTCTCTCTTACTTTCCAAGTTTAGAATATTTCTATAACTAAAGAGACTTGTGGAGAGACTACAAATACTAAAAAATAAAAATTCTATGAAATAATAATATTAGGATAATGATATTTTATTCATTTACAAAAAAATCTTCACTTAGATTTTCTATTTTATGATATATTTCTTTTTGAAAATATTCAAATATGAAAACTATTTGATTTGAGTTTATATACATTTGGCATTTATATTGACTTTATTATATTACTAGTGGTTGGTCCGCCCTACGGGTGGGTGAATTTACGCTAAAACTATAACATGATTATTTCACATATATAATTTAACCAAAATAACTTTAATATGGTGTAATCATTAATAATCTGAAAATTAAGATGAACCAAACCATATATAAAATGTTTTCCTGAAAATAACAAATTTCTTCAAAGATTAAAACCCAAGAAAATAACTCAATCATTTATTTTTTCCAGTGTTGGATGTATATAATTCATATCTTATCAGATATCATATTCTCATTTCCACATGGTAAACAATTGTATCGTACCTCATATAAAATTACATCATTAAATAGAACAAAACAATTCAAAAATTGTTAGCTTTACATTCTACCCCAACAACTATGCGCCTTCTCCTCTTCACGTTTCAAAAGCATGTTGCAGATTTCAGATATTGACAGTGAAATTCATGAGTAATATGTGCCACACGAATATTATCTTTGGGTCTTCTTCCATTGAAGCTAAAAAAAACTTTGTTGCATCCAGAGCGTTTTACAGAACTACAAGATCTAATTTTCAGTATCACCCATCTTCTGCCAAAACTTAGTTTTGGTCCATTAATTATGTCACAGGTCTCTGGACCTACGGATCTTTAATTTTCTTTTGTAATCTTATTTTGTTTCGATTATTAGTATATCTATCGGGTTAATTTTAAATTTTGGAAAACCATGTATTCTCAAATTACCCCATTTTAACTATTGTAATTTATCAGTGTTCTTTTTTTTTGATTAATATCAACACAATTTCTCGTCTTATTTGGTTGATGATTTACCCATATACAGAAGTCAAAATGATATTTATGTGCATCTTAAAGTATTGTATTTGTTATTGTTTTCTCATGTTTTTATCATATTATTTTATATCGTGTCTATTTTGAAAACTGTTAGTAATATGTGTTCTGATTTAAGATCTATCTCCTTATTCATAAAGTATGAAAGTTGGGTGTTTTTTTAATATTTGATTGAATCAAAGAATCTTAGTTTTTTGTGCCATTCAGCCTTTTACAATTTCTGTAGGGTTTTCTGCAAAACTTTCCAAATTTTTGGAGCAAAGACCAATGATTTGATCGAGTATGATGAGA